TAATACAAAGCTTTATCTAAATACTTTCAAGACAATGAGATAAATTGAATTATAATTCAAACGAAACATCGATAATTAAGAAATGAAATAAAAAAAAAAAAAAAAAAAAAAAAAAAAATAAATAAATAAATAAAAGATTATCCAAGCAACAAGAATAGAACGTTTAATACTACTCGTAGATTTCGAAGTTCTGTTTTCCTTAGTTAATTAATTAATTGATTAATTGATTAATTGAAAAAATAAAATAAAACGATAGAAAAAAAGATCAAATTACTAACGGATCATTTACCATTTCGCGATGGAACTCGACAAGTGGGCGAAGTAGCCGTGTTACGCATTTGCTTAGGTGACTGGGTCGTACAGAGATTGCTGTTGAACATCGGCTCGTTGTTGTTAAGCTTTGAATTGTTTGAGTTTGGCGAGAGACTACTCGTGAATTTTTTCTCTGTTTCGACCGACTGAGCGCTGTGCGGTGACGACGGACTATTGTGCGGTTCTCTCGGTGGAGACGTTGATTCTCCTATAGCATGACTTCTGACCAGTAATTTCACTTTCGTACTCGTCTAAAATATCCGTGAAAATGTGAAAAAGCTTTACGATCTTATTTCTTAGAATCGTCATCGAGAGAGCAAGATATATATATATATATATATATATATACAGAGAGGAGGAGGAAGGAGTGAAGGGGAAGGGGAAAGCGAGAAGAAAAGAGGAAAAAAATATTTTTTCCTTTTTTCAATATTAAAGGATTCTTAAATTTTTAATTAATTCAAACTAATAGAAAGTACGTCGGCTTTCATTTTTCTTGAACAAAAAGAGAAAAGAGAGAGAGAGAGAACTTTATTAGGAATAATTCAAGTAAAATTATTTTTTATATCGTTAGAAAAGATTATTGCGAAGCGTTTAGAAGGAAAAAAGAAAAAAAAAAAAAAGAAAAAAAAGGAGGATGATGAAAAAGAAAAAAAAAAAAAGAAAATTTTCATTTAAAGGTACCCTTATGATTATAAACGACGATGCATAAGATTGGCAATGTGTGTATCCATCATCACGTCATAGGTACCACTACCTAAACTTGTGACTCATTTTATCGTGCTCTACTAATTGGTATTAACGGCTAAGCTAAATCAGATTACTTCGTCGAGGAGGAGCGGCCGAAGCAATGAGCCGAACAAGATTAAAGCTATTTAAAGAGAGCCCTGTGTTAACATGTCGATCGAATAGCACGAGTAGTTCTCGCTTTTGCTTGTTGAAATCAAACGATTTGGTTCTTACGTTAAAATTATATATCCAGATATGTTTAGTTTGTTAATATTAGATCTATCAACATAATAGTAGTATACCCTGTCAGTCGGATTGATCATTATATTATCGAAGATAAATATTGAAAAGGTTTTGTATCGTGTGAATCTTTAAAATTTCTTAATATCAATATAGAGATTTCTTAATTTATTCTTAATTAAATCTAATCTGATTTAATCCGCTTTTAGATATCTTACGTATAAATACGTATTATACACGTTCTGCGCGCGCGCAGAAACATATACTCGCATATATATATATATATACTAAATGTAATTTTGAAATAAAAACAATTTATCATTGATTTATTTTATTAATTAAACGATGTGTCACCGTCATCCGTACTTTCAGTTTGCTAAAGAAAAATATATAATTGTCATGTCAATAATAACTTCATAATATTGAGATTTAACGAATTAATATAAATACACTATAAAAATGTATTATTATCTTTTTCTTAAGAAACGTTTCATGCAATAATGATAATAAACGTTAGAACAAATAAACGATGTAACAGTAATAAACTATAATAGATCATTTGCCCTATTCTCAATGATGATATATCTCATATTGTTGAGGGTTGAAAAAAAATTAATGAATATATCAAAATATAAAAATGTATTATTTCTTTCATAAGAAATTTTTCATAAGTTTGATAAAAAATAAAGATCAAATGTATAATGATGAAACAGTAATAAAGATCTCATCAATGCTAAATCGTGATCTTATAATTGAGTTAATAAATGCATTATAAAGATGTATTATCTGTTTTTCTTTTTTTTTTTCTTTTTTTCTTTTTTTTTTTCCAACAAATTTTTTATCAAACGATGAGAATAAACGTTAGTTCGAATATATACGATGGAACAACAATAAACAGTAATAGAACCTTACCCTATTCCGAAAGTTCTTGCTCTCGGTATCCAATTTATCAGGTGGGCAGGATGGCGTGGGACGGTGATGAGAGTTCGGTGCGGGATTGCTGCCGACGGTGGGGTTGGCATTCCCGTCTATCATATCCGAGCCCGAGGCACTTGTATAAGCTGCAGTGGAGCCACCGAGGACGAGGCCTTGCCTGGAGGACGGCAACGAGGGCATTCCTCCGCGTACCACCACAGTTGGACTCTCAGGTCGACCTTGCGACCTGCTTCCTTTATGCACCACTATGCTCGGTACTGTAACAATGATTATTTATTATAATTAAGCGTCATTTATTATTTTGATGATCGTTTGATCTCGATTGGATATATAAACAAAAAGAAAAAAAGAAAAAAAAAAAAAAGAGGAGAAAAGAAGAAAAAAAAAGAAGAAAGTAAAAAAAAAACAAAAATCCAGCTCATCCTTGGCTCGTAAATAATATTCGATAAATAATATTATATTTCTATTATTTTATTTTATTTTATTTTATTCTTTTTTATTTTTATTATTATTTTTTTGTTTTTTTTTTTGTTATTTTTTTTTTTTAATATTTTCTATTTTCTCTTTGTCGCAGCCTATCTCTCTCGCACCTAAATAAAACACCTTCTCTTTTGTTATTTTGTCGCCTTACTAATATACGCGATCGGTTGAAAAAGATAATAGAAGATAGATTAGCTAAAAAAAGAAGCTCGGTAGGTAGGGGAGAGTGCGTTATCCAAAGATTTTGCTTTTCATAGGATCCCTTGGTCTTTACTTCATTGGAGAGCATTTTCGAGAAGCAACGTTATTATCTTGGATATAAACGGATAGCTGCTTGCTCTAAGACTAGAGAAAGACAGGAAAATAGAAAGAGACATAGAGAGAGAGAGAGAGAGAGAGAAAGAGATAGAGATAGAGAGAGAGAGAGAGAGAGAGAGATAGAGAGAGAGATAGAGAGAAGTAAAATCGTGAAGCGTGAAAACACTTACTCTCCAGGCGGGCCATGTGTTAAATGCGTCATGGGGTTACGGTGCAGGGCTCTGCGACTGGTGGTTTTTTTTTTGTTTTGTTTTGTTTTGTTCTGTTTTGTTTTATTGGGTCTTTTGCTTTCTTTTTTTCTTTTCTTTTTTCTTTTTTGTTTACTTTTTTCTTTTCTGTTTTGTTCAAACAGGTGCAACAGGGTTAGTACGTAAATCTTTCGGGTGGCGTGCAGCACGTTGGACTGATACAAGGAGCCAGATCGCTGCACGACCACCTTCCAACATCGTACACTCTGGAAGCAGACATAACACAATCCTTTTCGTCACCGTTACAAATTTTCTATCGGATTGTTATATGTTAACACAATCTATAATACTCATATTGGATCAATAATCGATTTCGTTCGAAATGGAATCGAGCGGAAGATAGAAAAAAAAAAAAGAAAAAGAAAAAAAAGAGAAAAAAAATGAAGAGAGATATATTAAAAAGAAAAAAAAAACAAAAGAAAAAAAGAAAGAAAGAAAAGAGGAAGAAAAAGAAAAATTAAAAGAACAAACGACAAAAAATTCCTCCGCAATTTTCTTCATCGATCTAATAAAATATTATAAACGATGAATTAATTCAATTGAATCTAATGAATCTTTTTCTTTTTTCTTTTTTTTTTTTTTTTTTTCTAATCAATTAAATAAATCAAATTAAACCGTTATCCTCCTAGTTATAGAATACGTCCCGTCCTAACGCGATCGATGATATTTCGAACGACTTCAGATTTCGATCGACTACACACACCACACGTATTAATTGAACGCCCACCCACAGCCCCACCTTTCGTCTAATGAATTGCATTACCGACGGGTATACGGGTATTTGAATAATTTAAAGGGATTTCTATACAAAAGCTAGTAGTCTAACAAAATGGAATACATTTGAATATGAAATCGAACATATGTATTATATTTCAGATAGAACCGATAGATATACCACTTTATATATATATATATATATATACACATATGTGTGTTTCTAGGTCGTAAACGTTAACACTTTCTCCGCTTTACTAGACCGAAAACATTATTAGCTCTTTATATGAAGAGTTCGATTTATAAGAACACAAATGGATAGAGATAAAAAAAAAAAAGAAAAAAAAACAATAATAATAATAACCGGAACAATTTTTCGAATGGTCCGCGTTGAAGTGATGTTCTTTTTTTAATATTTAATTTTTATTATTTATTTATTTTCTTTTTCTTTTTTTTTTTTTTTTATCTCACTTCTTCAACCCCAATGAAAGAAGGCAAAAGAAAAAAAATGTAATGGCATAAGAAAAATCAAAGGGAAAAGAGAAAGACAGGTAAGAAAGAAAGAAAAAAAGAAAAAAAAATGTGATGGGAGGGCGGGAGTGGGGGTGAGGAGAGAGGGGAGGGTGATAAGAAAGCGAAAAGAAAATGAACAAATTCAAACGATTAGATCAACGAACCTCCAATTGGTTCCCATCTTCATTGCGGAAGATCGAAAAGATATTATATCGTTGATATGTTCGAAGTGATTTATTGAAAAATAGAAGAAGAAAAAGATGAGGCAAAAGTGCTATTCTCTCGATTCTTAAATCACTTCCTTCTCGATCTTATCTCACTTCGAGGTTTGACTTTTAAGAGACCTTAGAAGAAGAGGAAGAAGAGGAAGAAGAAGAAAAAGAAGAAAAAATATTCTATTTCTTCGATTCCAACATCACTTCCTTTTCGATATTATCCACTTCGAGCTTCGACTTTTAAAAGACCTTTAGATCTTCGATCGTTTCTGCGAAATCAATGTCGATTTACATATACGTCTCTCTCTCTCTCTCTCTCTCTCTCTCTCTCTCTCTCTCTCTCTCTCTCACTCGTTAAGAGATCTATCCTTTCTCGTCATTTCTATATAATTCTCTCTTTGACACACATACACACACACAGGCACACATTTTTATTCGATCCATTAAAAAGAAATAAAATTACTATTAACGCAACGTACGATTAATAATAATTTGAAGTAGTCACTGTACGGAAAAGGAAAAAAGAAAAAAAAAAAAAAGAAAAAAAAAAGAGGATAGAAAGAAGAAAGAGAAAGAGGGAGGGAAATAAGGGAGAACGTTCGAAATCGTCGATAGATCGTAAAATTTAAACTGTTCGTGAAAATGAGCTCGTAAACGAGACACGAAGGATACGTGACGAAAGTCGCGATTCCAAATTGAAAAGGCATCCACGAAAATAAAATTTCACGTTATCGTTTCCCTATATAAATGCATAGTCGATATTACGCTAATCGTACGTGATTCTATATCGTACCAATCTTCACGGAAATGTGCGAATCAAAAAGAAATAAAATTTTTTTTCTTATGTATATACCACGTATGTATATGTTATAAGTACGTGTACGTTATATCTCAGATCTACGAATAACGAATAAATAATAATAATGAAATTTTATCGACTTACCGGATAAATCTCGAATCTCGATATTTCTCTTTAGACGACGATCGAAACGTTTACTTTCGAGAGAATCAAAGTGAAAATAAAATGAATATTGATATAGATATAGAAAGAGCGCGCGCGCGAGAAAGAAAGAAAGAGAGAGAGAGAAAGAGAGAAACAGACAGAAAGAGAGTTAATGGGGAGGGAGAGGAAAAAAGGGAACAAAAAAAATTACAAAAAAAAAAAAAAAAAAAAGAAAACAAAACAAACGAAAACAAAAGATCGAAAGTAATCAAATACCTTCGTTCACCGCTCTCCACCTTACTTTTGATTAATTTACAATCACTTGTATAAACATAAACACAGACTCAAAGAGAGAAAAAAAAAGAGAGAGAGAGAGAGAGAGAGAGGGAGAGAGAGAGAGAAAGAGAGAGAATCAATCAATCGTAATCTTACTCACTCGCACTCTTACTCACTCACTCACTCACTTACTCACTCACTCACTCACTTTCTCTCCCTCTCTTTATATCCTTTGACAATTTCATATCGCACACCATGATCGTGGCGATGTTGAGTCACGCGTTCTCCAACGACAACATAATAACAACAACAGGAGGAGAGAGGAACACGAGAGTAACACCGTTATATGTACGCGTACGAACGAACGCGCGAAACGTCTTTTACGATCGATGGATGAATCACGTTCGATCATTCGAGACTCATTTGCCGAGGAATAAGAAGAGATCAATTGACCTAATATGAAAAAATCGACCTTTCGAAGGAAAAAAGGAAAGAAAAAAAAATAAGTAAAAGAAACTCAATCTTTTTCGATAGAACACATGAACACACGAACACACGACCACACGAACACACGAACACACACACACACAGCAAGCTCGCGTGCGCGAGCGCGCGTATGCACATACGCAAAACACATAGACAGAGAGATACAGAAAGAGGAGAGAGAGAGAGAGAGAGAAAGGAGATACGAAGTAAACAATAGTTTAAAAATCCTCTTGAAAATTCACCACTCCTTTTATCCTCTTCTTATCTAATTCCCAATAATGATAATAATAACAGGATAACGATAACATCAATTCTCCTTTTCACTTGTCTCAACAACGAAAGATAGAGAGATAGAGATAGAGATAGAGAGAGGTTAGAAGATAGAGAGAGAGAGAGAGAAAAAAAAGAAAAAGGAATAGATAAAGAAATAAGTAGAAGAGGAAAGAGAGAAAAATAAAGGCAAAGAGAGAGAGAGAGAGAAAGAGAGAAGGCAAGGCACGCTTTGGCAAAGCTCCACAGCGTCTCGAAAATAGCAAACACGCTATCTCTCGCCCCTTCCACGGTGTATCCAGAACATGATTTTCGCACGAGCTTTGTATCTCTCTCTCTCTCCCTATAAATTTTTCATTTATGTTTAACTATTCCTTCGGTATAACAATACTGATGATATCCAATGAAAAAGAAGGAAGATATAAGATCGAGAAAGAGAGATAGACAGATGGATAGATAAAAAGAGAAAGAGAAAGAGAGAGAGGGAGAGAGAGAAAATAGAAAGAAAATTGAAAAAAAAATGTTAGAAAAGATTAGAACAGGTTAAAGGAGAAAGAAAAAAGATAGAAGGAGAGAGAGAGAGAGAGAGAGAGAGAGAGAGAAAAGGGAAATGAAAAAGAAAACTGAAAAAGAAGTAAAAGTAGTAGAAAAAGAAGAAGTGTTAAAAAGATTAGGATAGGTTAAAAGAGAAAGAGAGAAAGAAAGAGAAAGGAGAAAGAGAGAGAGAGAGAGAAATAGAGAAAGAAAGAGATAGAGATAGAGAGAGAGAGAGATGATAGTAAAGTCTCAACGAAGACGAAGAGACCTGGACCAGCCGCAACGTAGAGACCGAGAGAAGCACAATACACTATGCGTCAGCGCGGGACCGCTTCGCGCGAGAGACTGAGAGAAAGAGTGAGTGAGCGAATATGCGAGTCAGTAAGAGAGTGTATGTATGTATGTATGTGAGAAAGACAGAGAGATAAAGAGAGAGAGAGAGAGAGAGAGAGAGAGAGAGAGAGAGAGAGAGAGTTTTGAGCGAACGAGCGAGAAAGAGAAAAAGAGAGAGAGAAAGATAAAGAGAGAGAGAGAGAGAGAGAGAGAGAAAGAGAGAGGAGAAAGAGAGAGACAATCCACCGACTCCCCACCACCTATCTACGATGCTCTCCAGAGGTGAAAGAGTGGGAGGTGGACCGATGGAGCGCGTCACTGAAGGGGGGATGAATGAGAAGGAGAGAGAGAGAGATTGAGAGAGAGAGAGAGAGAGAGAGAGGGAAGGTACGCCTGGCCGTATGTCGAGCAAGTGCACGCGTGCGCGCGTGTCTTCTCTAAACCGTATCTCTAACGGGCGTACCGAGAAACGTTCAACCCCTGTGGACCTCTTCTCATCATCCGACGCATCTTTCTCTCTCACTCTTTCTCTTTCTTCTTCTTTCTTTTTTAGTTACTTATTTTCGTTATTTTTTTTTGTTTCTTCCTTCCTTTTTTTTGTTGTTTCCTTTCCTTATCTCTCTCTCTCTCTCTCTCTCTCTCGCCACTCTTTTACTTTTTTCTCTTTACACGTCTTTTCTTTTTTCTTCTTCTTTTTTTTCGTTTTCTTTTTCTCTTTTCTCTTCCCCCATTTATGAGATATACGAGTCAAGATCGGAATTTGTTTTTTTTTTTTCTTTCTTTCTTTTTTTTTTTTTTTTTTTTTTTTTTTTTTTTTTTTTTTTTTTTTTTTTTTTAATGCGGTTCTTTTACATCTCTTTTTATGTTGTTTTTCTTTCATTTTTTTTTCTTTCCTTTTTTTGCTCCTTTTTGTTCTCTTTCTTCTTTCCGACTCTCCTTTTCGTTCCTTTCTGTTTCATTTTCTTTTTTTGGTCAATTTTTTTGTTGTTCCTTTATTTATTTATTTATTTATTTATTTATTTATTTATTTTTTTTTTTCATTTCGATTCCCTAACTCTTCGACGAGGATATTCTTGACGTGATCGTCGTATAACAATGTAAAATTCAATTGGTCAATATGCGCGCTATAACGTTTTTTATTTTTTTATTTTAATTTTTTTTTTCTGTAATAGAATGTATATATTTATTTACGCGTGGAAAATGTATTCTTTTTCTTTTCTTCTTTTTTTTTGTTTGATTGTTCGTTTCTCGTAAAAATTTTCAAATTTCTACGTTTTCTACGATTTTTTTTTCTTTTATTTTTTTAAATTGAAAAAAAAAATGAAAATTAAGTAAAATTGATGGAAAAATGAAAATTAAGTAAAATTGATGGAAATTGTTGTAATGTGGTTATCAAATGGAAATTTCTATATAAT